ACCCGCCGGCTAGGGAGGAGCCGAGGGGGCGGGGCCTCCGCCCTCACCGTGACGGCGGTCGGGAGCGCGCTTCACGGACTGAGCAAAGATGGCGGACGCCAGCCTACGAAATGGCCCAATCGGGAGGCAGGCGGTAAGCGGTCCCCTCGGGAAAAGTCGCGCGAGAGGACGCGGTTCGAGGGTTGCGCATGCGCCTCGTCGGCGAGAAGACCCCAGGGCCCTCCTGGGGAGTTGAGGTTGGGGACCAGGAGATTCGGACGTTGAGTTCCACTCCTTGTGCACTGAACGTTGCTTTATTCATTGGTCAATTTTGCTAACAGAGCATTGTAAGCCAAGGCCAGGATGTCCTAACGAGCGGTCTGACTGGAGCCGCCTGCGCGGTCTTCGCTCCCTCGGGTCTGCGTCAGGCCCCGTCCCTTCCCCGAACCCCCTCCGCGTCAAGGACTGCGGCCGTCCCCAGCCCCTGGCTCGTCCAGATGCCGGCCAGGTCCTCTGGCCGCCGGCCCTGTCAGCGGCTCATCCTGGCTGTCTCCACTCACAAGCAAGAGGAATCCACTGCGCCTGTTCGTGCACCTCCCAGAGATGGGACTGTTAAGGCCTCGTTCGGGAAGCCGGTTGCTGGGCGCTGCTTGAGGCTGACTAGGAGATGCTCAGAGTACCACTGCCTTGATCCCATCATTTCCGTCTCGGGTGCCCCCGCGGACGGTTACGTAACGGGAGGCTAGTGGCACCAAGAAATGGATCGCCATCCCCCGCCTCCTACCTCCTAGCCCCGTCCGTGAACTGTGGTCCCCAGAGATAATGACTCTTGTGCTTTTTTTGTTGTTGTTCGTATGTTTGTATTGGAGAACAGCGGCTGGCTACCAGAGTCCCAGGAAGCCCTGACTCACTGACAATCTTTAATAATTAAAGGCAGCCCAGAAGTTGCTGAAGTTCTCAAGGTGAGAGAGAGGCTGCCCGTCTACCTTCCAATGGGAAGATCTGTGCTGACTTGGGCCACTCCTGAAACTTGGTGAAAGCCAAAACATACCTCAGCCTCGATAATAAAAAAAAAAAGTTTGGAAAGCTTCTAGTCCCCACCGTGGTTCTAGCAACCTTGCTTCCTCTTATTACCATCTGAACTTCCACGTTCACTGGGGAGCAAGTTTCTCCTCTGCAGCTGGCTTCCCTGAAGGTCCCACACTCTCCCCGTTTTTCTTATTTCTTCCCTGCCGCTGCCCAGTGCCACCCTACTCCCTGCCTCAGCTGTCACCGGAAAGGGAAAGTTGACAGGGTCTTCAGGACAGATTCTATCACATTCCAGCCCTTGAGGACTCCCTGGTAATTTGAGAAGCAAGGAGACCCACTCCAGCTACTGGCCTCTTCCTAATTCTGATGCAAAAAGTTCCCAGATCCAGCCAGAAATCTACCCTCCAGCGCAGTTTCTGTGGGCCGCAGGGTTGTAGAAAAATGACTGCTACAAGGAAAACGATCCTGGCGGCCAGGCCTAGAGGGGGAGGCATTATTTCGAGGTCTCTGCCCCCAGCTGATTCATCTTCTCTTCTGAGGCTTTGTCTGGAAGCAAGACCTCCACAGTGAAACTGACCTTCTTGGCATGAATGAAGCTGTAGGTGTTGTCAAACCGCAGGACATCTAAGGGGAGGCAGAAGACCAGACATTCAGGTGGTTCTGACAGAACACTCGGGGATAGCAGTTTCTACTGACTGAGCAAGGCAGACGGTGGTATAAGCTACCTTCTTAAACCTGGTCTAGTTCTGGGCCTTCTAAAACTTAGCCTAGCTCCAGTGACAAGGTGCTCCTGTGAAAAGCACATGACACAGAGTATGTGAAGTGCCAGCTGAATGACAGAACAATATCTATAGCAATTTGGGAGGACAGGGCCCCTTAGAGCAAAACTGCCTTTTCACACAAGGTAAAGTTTGACCTGGGCTATGAGGGGGGCGTAGAATTAGTAAGCAACAGCAGTAGTTATAATAGTAGTAGTAATAATAATAGCTACTTAGGTGTTGCAGCACTGGCTTGGTAATCTATATAATCGCATTCTTCCTCAGCATTAGCTTTGTTTTACTTTCGATGAAAAAGAAGTCTCTCCTGTCACTCAGCGAGAAAAGATGAAGCTAGAATTTCCTTGTGGTCTGCATTCTTGCCTTTGACCCGATTGACCTGGACCTTGGGAAGCCCAGTCTTGTTCAGCTTCTGGGAAAAGGTAAAATGTGCAATCTTTGGGAATACGGAATTTTTTTTTAATGGTAGCGGAGATCAAACTCTGGTCCTTGTGCTTGCGAAGCAGGCGGTGACACCACTGAATTAAATCCCAGCCCACTACTTGTCTGTTTATAATATGTTCTCTTTGATGGTGACAGTGCCTCGGAGGGAAAGTTTTTCTCAAATTCTATGAATTTTAGCCACAGACTTCTCTCCAGCATACACTGAGTGACAGACACAATTCCTGTGAATGTACCCGTGTGTGTATACTGTTTTTTCAGTAATGTGGTACTTCCAAAGAGACAGAAGGTAACTGCTAGGATAGACTACACCTGTTAGCAGTCATTTCTTCCAAAACGTGGAAGTAAGAAGTAGGTATGCAGTTGGCAGAGAGAGCTTTACCAAGCTTTGGCAATGGAACAGACTTGCTTTTTAGCTAACCCTGTTTCTCTGAGAAGCTGTTCCATTTCAGTTAAAATGCCCCTTCAAGAGAACTAAACAAGAGCAGGGCGTGGTGGCTCATGCCTGTAATCCCAGCACTGGGGAGGCTGAGGCAGGAGGATCGCAAAGGAAACCAGCCTGGGCCACACAGTGAGTTCAAAAAACCAGAAAAAAGAGAGAGAGAGAGAGAGAACTAAACATGAAAACAAAAATGCTAGCTCTGCTCTTTCCCTGTGCTGGTCTTCTCTGCTTTTCCCAGCCAAAAACAAAACAAAACAAAACAAAACAAAACCCACCTGTATATTTAACCTGAGACTTCACCTTTCGCCTTTTCTGACCCTGGATAAAATGCACAGCTTAGAACACCCATTAGTGTCAGCCCTGTTTTTTCTCTACTGCAGAGGTCCTAAGGGACCAGCAGTCCTCCTGGAAAGAGCGAAGCTTTCTCTCTTTGCCTGGACCACAGAACCTTGGCAACCAGAGGCAGTCTTGGTAAAGACCCAGTCCTTTGGTCTCCTTAGACCAAGTACCAGGATTGTGATGATTTTGCCTGAGATATTCTGCCCTCAGAAACAAGGAAGGGGTTAGAGGCACAGGCCCCAGGGAAGTGGAGTCACTGCAACTCTACAGTCTGATGGCTCTTGTTTGGATTTGTTTTGTTTGATTTTGAGACAAGGCCTTGTTTTGTTTGGTACCAGGAATCAAACTCAGGACCTTGTGCTTGCAAGGCAGGGGCTGGAACCACTGAGCTAAATCCCCGGCCCATCCCCTGCTCTAAGAAGGAAAGTCAAATCTCTTTTTTTTTTTTCCAGTACCGAGGATTGAACTTGGGACCTTTTGCTTACCAAGCAGTCATGTCGCACCACTGAGCTACAATCCCTGGCCCAGTCAAATCTAATTATTATTTATTTATTTATTTATTTAGGTACTGGGGATTGAACTCAGGACCTTGTACTTTCGAGGCAGGTGGCAGCACTACTGAGCTAAATGCCCAGCCTGTTAAATCTCATTCTTTGGCTGGGGGTTGAGACAGGGTCTCACTATGTAGTTGAGACTGACCTGGAACTCACTATGTAGCCCAGACTGGTCTCAAACTCACGATCCTCCTGCCTCACCCTCCCGAGTGCTGGGATTACAGGTGTGTGCCACCATGCCCAGCTCCTCAAATCTAATTCTCAAAAGACACCTGTTGCAAACACTCAGAGAAGTTGGTAGCAAGGCTGGACTTCCTCAGGAGCAGGCCTCCTTGTTCCCGCTGGACTCCTTCCACCCCGGCCCTGTCTTGCAGCACCTTGTCACCTTTCTGCAGGGTTTTGGTTCTGCAGGTTTCCTAGTGGACAGACCTTAGCTCTTTTCTCAGAATCTTTCCATTCCATACTCAGGCCCTCAGTAGATATTAGGGGAGAGAAAAACAGTGAAATCAATTTAACTTTGGTCCCCTCCTTGGTAAATTAGTACACTTGGACAAAGACTGGAAGCCAGAAGGTTCCAGGGCTCCTGCCACTGGGGCTGGTGTACCCAGAGATTAAATCCCACCCCCGGGTGATCGTGTTGTACCACACAGCAGGTCACCTGGGTCTCCAAGGGCATTGCCGTCTCACAGGTGAACTTGGGGGAAAAGGGGTGGATGGGGTGGCCTGACTCTTCCCGTCCTGGGAATGAGCAACAAGCAGATCACAAGTGGGTTAAAAAAAAAGGAAGTTATTGTCAGGAAGGTATGCAAGGGGAGCTAAAATAATTTTGGGATTTGCAAACCGGAGGCGAATTATGTTCAAAGGTTCGTGGCTGTCATCCCACAGATATTAAGGACGCGAGAGGGAGTAGATGAAGCTATAAAAATGGGTTGGGGCCCTCCTGGTGACTCCATGACCTTGGGGAAGTTACTTCTCTGGTCTGGGTGTCCACTCTGTCCTTTGTCACATCAAAGACAGATGTCCTGGTCACCTCTAGGACAGTCTGGGCCCGAGTTCCCACACTGGGACTCCAGGAGTCTCTGGCGTCTTGTGTTGTGTACACAGATTACTTTGTGGGAGAGAGAACGCCCTTTCCTGTTCCTTAAAAAAAGAAATTCGTGGTGGTTCCACCGCCTGCCTCACAAGTGCAAGGACCCAAATTCGATCCCTGGTACCAAAAAAAAAAAAAAAAAAAAATCCCAAATACATAAATCAATTCGGTCTTCCATGTACAAAGTGGGTGACAGTGTCTGAGCTGGTTGCTAAGCCTCGCTCTTGCTGAAGCTTACAGCGTAGGCCTTCTCCCCAGGGACCCGGCTCCCCAGAGAGAAAACTCACCCTCCCTGGGAAGCCGCGCTGTGCCGCAGAGCATCTGTGGGGAGGGGGCGGGAGAGAGTGACAGGTGCTGGGTTGTGAGGGAGGAGGCTGAATTCCAGCTTGGGTGATGGTGTGGACAAGCGCGGAGCTGAGACATTCGTGGGGCTGGTTCAGATGGGCCAGTGATGCCTCAGACCTGGGGTCCAGGGCTTCTCCCGTCCTGCAGCACCATCTCCAGGATGGCCTGTGCCCTCCACTCACTCTCACTACTGATGGTGGTCGCCACGTATTGAGTGCCGGCTCTTTGCCAGGCGTGACACCACATAAGTGCCTTGAGACCGTGGCCTGTGTAGTCACTGGGTAACCCTTAAGGGCTCCATTGTAGCAATCAGAAAACTGAAATTCAAAGAGGTAAGGTCGCTTGCCTAAGGCCAGGCAACTAGTCAATAGTCTGGTCCAACTTCCTTCTGATAAAAAAGGCGGGGTGGCAGCTTTCCTTGGTTTTCCATCCCCAATCCTCTGGTGCTGTCAGAAAGGAAACTGGAAATTCGACTGGCAGGCATGGGTATGTGCACATGCTCGTACGCACGTGTGTGTGTGTGTGTGTGTGTGTGTGTGTGTGTGTGTGTATGTGTGTGTGTACATGTGCCTGATTGTTCTACTTATAAATGTGATGAATTATCAGTATAATGTGTATCGTGTGCAGAAATGAAAGCCCTCTAAGAGCATTCTACCACCCATGAGATAATTACGGTTCAGGGTTAACACAGACATTCTGGGAGGCTGAGGCAGAAGGAGTTCAAGTTCTAGCCCAGCTTGGGAAACTTAACAGTTTAGTGAGACCTTGTGTAAAAATCTAAAAAGAGGGCCGGGGATTTAGCTCAGTGGTTCCAGTGCCTGCTTTGTAAGCACAAGGACCCGAGTTCGATCCCCAGCATCAAAACATAAAATTAAAATTAAAATCTAAAAAGAGCTGGAGATGTAGCTCAGTTTGAAGACCCTGCGTTCAATCCCCAGTACCACGTATACACAAAAAAGGAATAGATTCCTGAGAATTCTTTTAGTGTACACACTTTTTTTTCTTGGTTTTTGAGACAGGGTCTCGATATGTAGCCCAGGCTAGTCTTGAACTCACTAGAGTTCTAGCCTCAAACTCGTGGCGATCCCCCTGCCTCAGCCTCCTCAGCACTGACATTACAGGTACACAATTTTTTTAAAAAACAAAGTTAAATATATTACATATACTGTGTTTCATGTTTATTTGTTCAATGTCTATCTGACATTTTACATATCAACTTATTCTCTTTAATGACAACAGTATTCCATTGTATGGATGAACTCTATTTTTAACAAGACCTGACTGCCATTTGGTTTACTGCCAGTTTTTCAGAAACCATCCTTGTCCCTCTGTCTTTGTATAACTATTTCTGTAGGATACATTTCCAGAAGTAGAACTTCTTTTTGTTTTTTTGGTACTGGGGATCGAACTCGGGTCCTTGCACTTGCAAAGCAGGCGGCAGAACCACTCAGCTAAATCCCCAGCCCTAGAACTTCTGAGTCAAAGGGAATTTTAATCAATATCATAAAGTCAAGTGAGGTTAAACACTTTTTCAAGTGTGTATTTGCCATTCTGATTTCTTCATGTGCAAACTTTCTGTTTACATTCTGTGCCCATTGTTTGGTCAACATGGAGATGCGTGACACTCAGAGAGGTCAAGGCTGGTTTTCTTGTTTTTTGTTTTTGTAGTGCTGGGGATTGAACCCAGGGCTGCAGGCATAGTAGGCGAGTGCTCTACCACTGAGCCACATCCCCGCCCAAAGCTGGTCCCTTTTCAGCACGCTGTTCACACCCTGTGATCCCTACACCCAGGCAGCCAAGTCTACCTCTGGTTCATGAGGAAGGAGCATCCCCAGGACACATCTGGTCACAGTCACAGACCCAGTCAGACCTGGACCTGAAGGCAGAGGCCCTAGGCCTGCCTCCTGCTGTGCCTCACCTGTACATTAGCCTGCCGGGCCCTACTGTTAACTACCTGGGTCGCCCTGAGCAAGTCACTGCACTTCTCCAAGCTTACCCTTCTATGCCAAGAAAGGGCTGAAAACTGGCAAGGGTTCCGCTTCTAGGTCTAACACCAAGAGCCCAAACCCATGGAGGAAGAGGGGCCTCCCGGTCAGAACGCTGAACAGGGACTTCAAGGTGTTGCCAAAACAAAGATACTTACAGATGCCAGGGTCGCTGCACGTAAGGGTCCCGTCCTCAGGGACCAGATGGGAATTGTACCTCTGGCTGGGCAGCACCTCCGTCATCTCCCCTGCCCGCTGCCGCTCCCCCATCTTGGTCTTCAGGAAAATCCCGAAACCGACGTCTGCTCCCTCTGACATAAACTGCCACCTGCGGGTCACGTGAGCCCATTTAGCTGTCCTTCCGTCTGTACACGTGCGTCTCTGGGGCACCAAGGCCTCTTCCACCCTTCCCACCCGTGGCACCTAAGAATGAAAGGTTCAGGTCTCAGGGGAGGGCCGGGTCCTACCTGAGCACACAGCCGGGGAAGAGAATTTCATACTCCACTTGGTGGGAGGAGCCCCGGGCAATCTGCACGCTGTGTTCATACTGCTGCTTCACCTGGTCTCGCACGTAATACTTCTTGGGGATGTCGCCCCCATAGTTGATCTAGAAGCAGAGCGCGGATGAGCTGGGCTGGCTGTGCCTTTTCAGCAGGCTGCCCCGCTCACCTCCAGCCTCTTGTGGCCCATACCTTAGATTTGCACTTGGGGTTTCCATCCGGGTCAGTCATGGTACCTCCGTACTCCACAGGCAACTGGTCAGGGCTGACATGCCTCAGTAAAACCTCCTTCCAGTTTGCTAGGCAGGACGGAAATGTCACCATTAGGCACGATTTCACCACATCCCTGGTCGTCTACACTGAAGGAGCAAAACCTATGCCTGTTGCTTCCCCTCAACAAGGGCCATTAGGAGCATGAAACACATACATAACTGTGCAGGGAGGTTGGTAAGAGCCATCACCCAGAGGATGGCCCTCCCTGGACCAGGACTCAGGAGACCTGGGTTGCTTTCCTTGCCTCTGGCCAGCTAAGTAACTTTAGGAAATCACTTCATCTTGAGCTAGTTCTTCCTGCCCTATAGGGTAACAGTGGGAGGGAAATGAACTTAGAATAACGGAGAAGGCTTTGTAAACTGCAGGCACTACACTCACTATGTTACCTATCGCCCCCAGTAAGGTGGTGAATACAAGCCGGAGGAAGACAAAAAAGCAGGGGAGTTCCATGCAGAGGGAACAGCGTGTGTGACAGGCAGGAAGGCCTGAATCTGAGGGTCTGTCCTGGTCAGACCAGACTCTGACCTTTTCCCTGCACCCAACTGTGCTCAGCTGTCACTCTGTGAATGCATACATCCCTGCAGTGAGCCCTTAAGTGGGTTCCTTTGGCTTTACTCCGACCCGAGCCTCATTTCTGCGTCTGTCGTCTTGGGCGATCTAGCTGCTTTTTGTAACCAAGCCTTCCTGGGCAGGAGAGTTCGACTCCGGTACATTCAGTGCCAAAAGCACTTCTTCACCAGTTCACATTGGTAAGGAAAGATCAGCCAAGTACAATATTTTGGCACAGGAACCTTTCATGATAGGCACCAGCCCCAAGCCATGAAGGACTTACTTCCCAGCGTCCTCCTGCAGTGCTAGCTGGAAACCCACATACACTGTCCAGAACACGCCTGTCCTCAGATTTTTAGGGACCCAAGACCATGCAACTCCCGAGAACACAGTATCTGTGGTTTTGGGGTAATTTAAGCTAAACTCCAGTGACCAGCTCAGAGTAAATGTCATCCCTCCGTGGTTGAAAGAGTGTTAGGTGTGGGTAGAAGAACAGACTGAACCTCCTACGTAGCTTGGCTGCCAGGAAACCAAAGCATCTCATGCACATGGTGGGTGGTAGCAGTAGAAAAACCAAAAATCATAAAAACCTTTTTTTGGTCTGATTTTTTTTTTTTCTCTTCCCCCAGCTCAGCTGGAGAGTTGGGATCGGGCCAGGAAGATCCTTCCCATCTTACAGACAGGATAACTGAGACAGCAAGAAGCAAAATCTAAACCAGGCAGCCGGGTGTGGTGGCGCACGCCTGTAATCCCAGCACTCGGGAGGCTGAGGCAGGAGGATCGCTGTGAGTTCGAGACCAGCCTGGGCTACATAGTGAGTTCCAGGTCAGTCTCAACTACACAGTGAGACCCTGTCTCAAAAAAAACAAACAAAAAAAAAACCTAAGCCAGGCCTGGTGACATACACCTGGAACACTAGCACTCTGCAGGCTGAGGCAGGAGGATTGTGAGTCCAAAGGCAGCCTCTCGGCTACATAGCAAATTCAAGGCCCAGACTAGGCAGAAAGACCCTGTCGAGAGAAGCGGGTAGGGAGGGAGAAAATCTGTCTGTACGAACCTAGGACCAAAACCCAGAAGTCATGAACTCCCCTGGTAACATCATGCCACACTCCCGTCTTGGAAAATCACCCTTCAACATGTCACCCACGGGTGAACATTCAGAAACCTCAGAACACCTATTACCTACGCCTGGTCTGACTCCACGGGGAGCAAGCAGCAAGCCTCCAACCTGCCCACCCCGATCTACCTTTCTACCCTTCTCCTCCACTCCACTTCCTGCTCCAGCAGAACAGCACTGCCTGTCCCCGGCGGGCTCGATCGCTGTTTGTCCTCCTCGTGGTTTGGGGTCCTCCCTACTTCTCTACCTATCTACGCCTGGTGACCTGCGTCCCTGGGGGGCCCCTCGTCTCCAGAACTTGGACATTTCCCCTGGGATTCGGCCTCTGCTCTTCCCTGGGAAATCTCTGCTCCCAGGGTTTTGGCTGCTGCCTTTATTGGGTCACCCCAAATCTCCAGGCTGGAGCTCTCTCCTAAGCTTCAGGCTCATGCGTTCCCAGCACCTGTAGGTCTTGTTAAACTGCTCACCCTCGAGCCGCATTCACCAGTTTTCCCACTTTGAACCCCGGCGTCATGATCTTCTCAGTCACTCGGGCCGGGTACCAAGGAGCCACGCTAGCGTTCTCTCTCTCCCCTGGCTCCTACATTCCGTCAACTGAGTTCTGTTGTTCTACTTCCTAGTTAGGTCATAAATCTAAGGCATGGCAACAGCGGGCAAACCGCTTTCTCCCCTTTAGGATTTGGCCAGTAGAACATCTCAGTTTAAAATCTGATCTCGGCACCGCCCCGCCAAGAGCTCCTCCCTGGTCCCTGGAGCACGGAGAGCCTTGTCACAGCTTCTCAGCATGGTGCCCCGAGTTCTCCTCAGCCTCCCTGTACAGCTTCTCGAGCTGGATCCTGCCCTGAATTCCATGACAGATGCCCGTGCCAAACTGGGAAGTCTTTGCTCAGTGATCCTCTTTCTGCCAAGGAGCTTCCCTGCCTTGTTCCATGCGACCGACTCTTACTTATCCCACACCACAGAGGTTAGGTAGGCATCGCCCCTCCCAGCTCGGAGCTCCCAGGAACTTCATGGGTCCCTTTCTTCCATTAACTATATTACACTGATAAATATCCGTGCCTCCCTTTCCTGAGAGCTCCGCAAGAGGCTCTGTCTTATTCATCTTTGTCATCACGGCACCTGGCCCAAGGCCTGGCACAGAGAAGGTGCCTGTCACAGAAAGCCGCACCTGATTCCCCCACCCAGCAGCAACCTTGCTCCTGTGACTTCTGTGGCACTTTTCAATGCTCCTCCTAGTGTCCTCTAGCTCCTATCTCTGCTTTTTCTCTCTGGGTCGTCTCTCTCGCATAAAACTGCAAGCTCCTTAAGAACAAGGACTGGAGTTGCGATCTCATCTTGGAACCCACCATGGTGAGCTTAGTGCTTGCTTGTAGAATGGTCTTCTCAGGAAGGCAGAGAGGAGGGCTTCAGCTTTGCAACTTGTTCCTGGGTCCCCTTGCTAACAAACCAGCAGAGGGAGCCTTTGTCCTAGCAGTCACGGTTACACCGCTAAAGCCCAAACTGGGGAAGGAGTCTAAGCCACTCACCCCCCAGGACCATGATCTTCTTGCGAGTGTCCTCACTCAGGAAGGGTTTGATGAGGTTATAGGCCACAGGAAACAGCCTGGGAGCTGGAAGAGAGGTCAGGCCACACGAGGGCAGAAGCACCAGTCAATCAGTCCCTAGCACTGTCATCCCAGCCCGCTCATCCACCTACCCACTGCCACCCAGCAGTGCCCCCTCCCTAGGTTGAGTCACACACTCCTTGGTGCTGTGGAGAGCACATCAGCAGTTCAGGGTGTGAGGTTGAGCATGGCACCTGGTTTTTTTTTGGTTTGGTTTTCGTGGGGGCGGGTATTTGTTAGTAGTAAGGGCCGCCTTCTCACTGAGCTACATCCCCAGTCCTTTTTTCTTTTTTTTTTGGTTTTTTGAGACAGGGTCTCACTATGTAGTTGAGACTGACCTGGAACTCACTATGTAGCCCAGGCTGGTCTCGAACTCACAGCGATCCTCCTGCCTCAGCCTCCTGAGTACTGGGGCCAGCCCACTTTTAATTTTGGGATCAAACATGGGATCCACCTGCCTCAGCCTCCCAGAGTTCTGGGATTACCACATGTGCCACTATGCCTGGCCACAATACCCGTCCAACTTTCCCATCTGTACAGTGGGACAGGCCAAGGATCTCTTCCTATGTCCTTTGGCTAGACGGCTTAAAGGAGGCAACAAACTCTAAAAACTGCGTTGTAAAGCGACACTGTCTGACTTCACGATATACTAAGCTCCTCCTTTGGCTGACTTATTTTACTCTCCACAGTCTGGCCCAACTAATATTTTTGGTTCTTCTTTCCCACCTGGCCTTGTTACAGAAAATCCCCAACTTACCTTTAACAATAAAAAGATGCTTCATTGTTTCAGGATAATTTTCCTCGAACATGCAGAGAAACTGTAGAAACAAAATCACTCTGGTCCAGCAGGCTAAGGCCCCTGTGCCAGGGAGGGAGACCCAGCTTCCTCCCGGCTAGAATTCACCCCCATCACTGCACGGTCACACAGGGCAGCCTGGCCAAGGGGCCCCTCCCCACCGCCGCTTACCTCTCCATAGGCTTCTATTGCAGGCTTCCAGAGATGCTTAAGGCCAAGGCCTTCGCAGTCATAAATTATGGTGATGGTCTCTATTTTCTTCCCCAACTGTAGGCAACAGACAGTGGGAAGTCACTCACGCTAGTCTGTCCCATTACAGAAGCCCCGCCTATTTCAGGACCAGTGCTGGTTGCCCCATACCTACAGCCCAGGCCCAGAGTTCCCCAGGTGGAGAGAACCACTGATAATCAACCTGAATATAATAGTAGCCTAGCCAAGTTGTTCCTCCATGTTTTTATCCTCTAAGTGACGAGGGGGGATCCAGATTACATCTGAGCTTGCCTCTCCTGCAGGGTGGCCCTCCTCTTCCTCTGAATCACTTTGTGCTCTGTGAGCAGCATTTGGGCCTGAGCTGCTTCTCTCTCAACCCAGATGCTCTGCCCAATCTAAGACCTGAAGGGTATGAATAGTCAAGTGCTCCTGCATCCCTGAGGTCTCTTGACCGCCCTGCATCTCTTGAGTTCTCTGCACACAGGAGCCTTTCTTCTTAAAGGTGACACTGTTTAAAAAAAAAAAAAAAGTCCCCGGACTTTATTATATTGTTTCACTTAATCTTTTTTTTGGGGGGGTACCAGGGATCGAACTTGGGTCCTTGAGCTTGTGAGGCAGGCGGTGGAACCACTGAGCTAAATCCTGGGCCCCTCACTTAATCTTTTTGTTTGTTTGTTTTTGAGACAGGGACTATGTAATCCACCTGGCCTTGAACTCCTGGCGGCCCTCCTGCTTCAGCCTCCTGAATTCTGGGATTACAGGCATGCACCACCTTAACTGGCCTACTTCACTAAATCTTTACAACTGCTGAGAAGAAGGCAAGAAGGCCAGGGTAGCAACTCCATCTTGTTCCTCTTTCTCAGTAAGGGAATAATACGCTGTCCTAATCTCTCTTGAATACGAAGTTAGAGAAACACAGAATATGAGCTCATCTACCAATTTTACCCCAATACTTGCTCAAATGGGTTGGTCCATAACAGGGCCTCAGTGGTCCCAAATGAGGAAAACAATAATAATGTAGTTTTTTATAAAGTTATTCCTTTTTTGTTTGTTTGTTTTTTGAGACAGGGTCTCACTATGTGGTTCAGACTGACCTGGAACTCACTATGTAGCCCATGCTGGTCTCGAACTCACAGTGATCCTCCTGCCTCAGCCTCCCGAGTGTTGGAATTACAGGCATGTGCTACCATGCCCGGCTGCTACTCCATTTTTTAAAAAGTGATTTGGTGGGCTGGGGATTTAGCTCAGTGGTTCCGCCACCTGCCTCACAAGCACAAAGACCTGAGTTCGATCCCCGGTACCAAAAATAAATAAATGATAAAAAGTGATTTGAGGGCCAGGGATTTAGTTTGGTGGTTCCGGCACCTGCCTCACAAGCACAAGGACCCCAGTTCAATCCCTGGTACCAAAAAAAAAAGTGATTTGGGCTGGGGCTTTAGCTCAATGATTCCTCCTCCTGCTTCACAAACACAAGATCCCAAGTTTGATCTTTTCTTTTTCTTTTTTTTTTTTTGGTATTAAGGATCGAATTCAGGACCTTGCACTTGCAAGGCAGGCCTGGTGCCACAGAGCTAAATCCCTGGCCCCGAATCTATTCCATTTAAAAGAACTGCCTTGGGCCGGGGATTTAGCTCAGCGGTTCGGTGGCCTGCCTTGCAAGCACAAGGACCCGAATTCAATCCCTGATACCCAAAAAAACAAAAAACAAAAAAAGAACTGCCTTTTACTCTGAGATTATGCCACTCTTATCGTTTGAGGTATTAATTACGGCAGTAATAGATGGACATTCTAGGTCCTAGCTTAGCAAAATACAAGTTTGGCAGGTAGTTACATAGGTCAGTGGTAAAGCACTTGCTTAGTGTGCTTAAAGCCCTGTTTCAATCCCTAGCACCACAAAAGAAAAAACAGGCAAGATCATGTCAGACTCTAAAACTTTTCAATTTTATAAAAATCTAGGGGCTGGGGATTTAGCTCAATGGTGCTGCCGCCTGCCTCACAAGTGCAAGGTCCTGAGTTCAATTCCCGGTAACAAAAAAAAAAAAAAAAAATCTAAAAGTCAGTTGAAGATGGTGGGAAGAGGGGAAAAAGAAGGAAGATACATCATGTTCAGGTACAAATTCCCTATGATGAATGTGATCATTATGTATCTAAAATGTATCAATAAAGGTTTTGCTTTAAAAAATATATCTAGCCGGGCATGGTGGCGCACGCCTGTAATCCCGGCACTCAGGAGGCTGAGGCAGGAGGATCACTGTGAGTCCGAGACCAGCCTGGGCTACATAGTGAGTTCCAGGTCAGTCTCAACCACATAGTGAGACCCTGTCTCAAAACAAACAAACAAAGAAACAAACAAAAAATATATATATATAAAGTCTGGGCCTCAGCCCAAAACTTACGCTTTCATCCCTTAATAACATCTCTGCCTCTGCTTGAAGACCCCCAGCACAACTCACTCCTCAGCACAGCAATCTACCCACCTTTGTGGTCTGACGGGCACACTCCTGCAGAAGCAGCTCGCAGTCCCGCATCTTGGTCCTGAGCAGGTCCTGCTTGGTGGCTGAGAACAGCAGACCCTTGGCATCCAGAGGCCCAATGATATCGTACCAGACCGGGCAGCCATCCAGGTCATAGCCGCACATGCCCCCCGACAAGTACTGCTGGATCACCTGGGCACAACGGAGAGGAAGGACCTGGTGGGCAGGCCCAGCGCATCCATGCCCTCCCTGGATCACCGCGCAGTGCTCCGGGTTCTCCCGCCACAACCCTGCCCCGGGTGCCATCAGAGCTCCCACAGCATGGTCAGACTTGTTCTCTGAGGGCCCCAATCCAATAGACCCAGGACACTGGCTGTGGATCTAATAGTGCAGCATAGGGATGGGCAGGATCATTTGTCCTCACCTCTGGAGGCTGCCAGCTAATGATGTTATCAATGTCCTTTTGCTTTCGGAACTCCACATGCTGCAAACACAGAGAGACTTATTTTATTTTTTGAGTCAGGGTCTTGCTTTGTAGTTCCGGCTGGCCTTGAACTCACTATGTAGCCCAGGCTTGCTTCAAATTCATAGCAATCAGGGGCTAGGGATTTAGCTCAGTGGTGCTGCTGTCTGCCTCACAAGCACGAGGTCCTAAATTCAATCCCC